ATCCTAAAAGGACTGCCTGGCAGCGGATGGGATTCGAACCCACACCCACAAAGAGACTGGAGCCTAAGTCCAGCGCCTTAGATCCCTTGGCTACGCTATCCCAGATGACTCCATGCAGTGGTCCCTTTTCTGCCCAATTTTACGGAAGCAGAGAGGACGCCGAGCTTCCTAGTGAAGCCCTTCAACTTTGGCCAAGGAGTCTACGTTTGGATGTGAGTGAAAGCATGCAGTATTACTTTACAAGTATGTTTGCTCAAGCAGAGAGGTCATTCTCAAGCATCCTAAAAGCACTGCCTGGCAGCGGTGGGATTCGAACCCACACCCCCAAAGAGACTGGAGCCTTAACCCAGCACCTTAGACCGCTCGGCCACGCTACCTTGCCAAGCTGCTCTCCCTGAGCAGTTTTCGCACCAACTTGTTTCACGTAGCGCAACAGCGCTGGGAAATCAGTTGAATTTGGCCATGCATTGCTGGAGCTCCTCCACAAAGAAAGAGAGCTGCTTAATACTAGCTTAGGAAGCACTCCCACCTTCCTGTCAAGCACAGTTCTGTCTCTATTAGAGCACACCTCAAGGCATTTGAAGTCTACTCCAAACGGCAGCCAGCTGCAATATATTTTAGCACCTGATTACAAGGTAACTGTTATTTCACAAAAGAGTGAAAGTTACTGATTCCATCACAGCAGACTCCACATTGTTGTTGTTATTATATTCAAATCCAGTTATAGAGTATTACTACTCTAATTGTGAATTTTTACTGTTCCTGTTTCTATAGGGTGCTCTTGCTAAAAGGAGCAATGGCAGAGAGAGACTTCCAGTGCAGACTTTGTTAAGATGCTGCAATCTAATCGTGGGAAAGACACTTGCTCCTGAGCAGATTCGAGCTTGGGGATGTGTTTGCAAGTCTGTTTGCTCAAGCAGAGAGGTCATTCTCAAGCATCCTAAAAGGACTGCCTGGCAGCGGATGGGATTCGAACCCACACCCACAAAGAGACTGGAGCCTAAGTCCAGCGCCTTAGATCCCTTGGCTACGCTATCCCAGATGACTCCATGCAGTGGTCCCTTTTTTGCCCAATTTTACGGAAGCAGAGAGGACGCCGAGCTTCCTAGTGAAGCCCTTCAACTTTGGCCAAGGAGTCTACGTAAGGTAACTGTTATTTCACAAAAGAGTGAAAGTTACTGATTCCATCACAGCAGACTCCACATTGTTGTTGTTATTATATTCAAATCCAGTTATAGAGTATTACTACTCTAATTGTGAATTTTTACTGTTCCTGTTTCAATAGGGTGCTCTTGCTAAAAGGAGCAATGGCAGAGAGAGACTTCCAGTGCAGACTTTGTTAAGATGCTGCAATCTAATCGTGGGAAAGACACTTGCTCCTGAGCAGATTCGAGCTTGGGGATGTGTTGCTGTCACACTAACGAGTCTGCCGTGAGTTTCAAAGAACACATTATACTGAATAGTTGCCAACTTAAATGTACTCTCTCATTTCCAGCGGTCACTGAGAACACGCACGCACTCAAGCAGTTTGTCCGTGTTTAAAATCACATCTGGCAGCGGTGGGATTTGAACCCACGCCCCCGAAGAGACTGGAGCCTAAATCCAGCGCCTTAGACCCCTCGGCCACGCTACCCTAGCTGTATTCTTGCAGTGGTCCCTTTTCTGCCCAATTTTACGGAAGCAGAACAGCAGAGAAGACGCAGAGCTTCCTAGTGAAGCCCTTAAACTTTGGCCAAGAAGTCTACATTTGGATGCGAGCTGAAGCGTGCAGTATCACTTTGCAAGTCTGTTTGCTCAAGCAGAGAGGTCATTCTCAAGCATCCTAAAAGGACTGCCTGGCAGCGGATGGGATTCGAACCCACACCCACAAAGAGACTGGAGCCTAAGTCCAGCGCCTTAGATCCCTTGGCTACGCTATCCCAGATGACTCCATGCAGTGGTCCCTTTTCTGCCCAATTTTACGGAAGCAGAGAGGACGCCGAGCTTCCTAGTGAAGCCCTTCAACTTTGGCCAAGGAGTCTACGTTTGGATGTGAGTGAAAGCATGCAGTATTACTTTACAAGTATGTTTGCTCAAGCAGAGAGGTCATTCTCAAGCATCCTAAAAGGACTGCCTGGCAGCGGTGGGATTCGAACCCACACCCCCAAAGAGACTGGAGCCTTAACCCAGCACCTTAGACCGCTCGGCCACGCTACCTTGCCAAGCTGCTCTCCCTGAGCAGTTTTCGCACCAACTTGTTTCACGTAGCGCAACAGCGCTGGGAAATCAGTTGAATTTGGCCATGCATTGCTGGAGCTCCTCCACAAAGAAAGAGAGCTGCTTAATACTAGCTTAGGAAGCACTCCCACCTTCCTGTCAAGCACAGTTCTGTCTCTATTAGAGCACACCTCAAGGCATTTGAAGTCTACTCCAAACGGCAGCCAGCTGCAATGCATTTAAGCACCTGATTACAAGGTAACTGTTATTTCACAAAAGAGTGAAAGTTACTGATTCCATCACAGCAGACTCCACATTGTTGTTGTTATTATATTCAAATCCAGTTATAGAGTATTACTACTCTAATTGTGAATTTTTACTGTTCCTGTTTCAATAGGGTGCTCTTGCTAAAAGGAGCAATGGCAGAGAGAGACTTCCAGTGCAGACTTTGTTAAGATGCTGCAATCTAATCGTGGGAAAGACACTTGCTCCTGAGCAGATTCGAGCTTGGGGATGTGTTTGCAAGTCTGTTTGCTCAAGCAGAGAGGTCATTCTCAAGCATCCTAAAAGGACTGCCTGGCAGCGGATGGGATTCGAACCCACACCCACAAAGAGACTGGAGCCTAAGTCCAGCGCCTTAGATCCCTTGGCTACGCTATCCCAGATGACTCCATGCAGTGGTCCCTTTTTTGCCCAATTTTACGGAAGCAGAGAGGACGCCGAGCTTCCTAGTGAAGCCCTTCAACTTTGGCCAAGGAGTCTACGTAAGGTAACTGTTATTTCACAAAAGAGTGAAAGTTACTGATTCCATCACAGCAGACTCCACATTGTTGTTGTTATTATATTCAAATCCAGTTATAGAGTATTACTACTCTAATTGTGAATTTTTACTGTTCCTGTTTCAATAGGGTGCTCTTGCTAAAAGGAGCAATGGCAGAGAGAGACTTCCAGTGCAGACTTTGTTAAGATGCTGCAATCTAATCGTGGGAAAGACACTTGCTCCTGAGCAGATTCGAGCTTGGGGATGTGTTGCTGTCACACCAACGAGTCTGCCGTGAGTTTCAAAGAACACATTATACTGAATAGTTGTAGAATAGATGTATCCTTTCAGTGGTCCCTTTTCTGCCCAATTTTACGGAAGCAGAACAGCAGAGAAGACGCAGAGCTTCCTAGTGAAGCCCTTAAACTTTGGCCAAGAAGTCTACATTTGGATGCGAGCTGAAGCGTGCAGTATCACTTTGCAAGTCTGTTTGCTCAAGCAGAGAGGTCATTCTCAAGCATCGTAAAAGGACTGTCTGGCAGCGGATGGGATTCGAACCCACACCCACAAAGAGACTGGAGCCTAAGTCCAGCGCCTTAGATCCCTTGGCTACTCTATCCCAGATGACTCCATGCAGTGGTCCCTTTTCTGCCCAATTTTACGGAAGCAGAGAGGACGCCGAGCTTCCTAGTGAAGCCCTTCAACTTTGGCCAAGGAGTCTACGTTTGGATGTGAGTGAAAGCATGCAGTATTACTTTACAAGTATGTTTGCTCAAGCAGAGAGGTCATTCTCAAGCATCCTAAAAGGACTGCCTGGCAGCGGTGGGATTCGAACCCACGCACCCGCCAGCTGCCGAAGGATAGTCCGACAATATTTCACAAATGTTGAAGATGAGAGCCAATCGGAGCGATTCGCTCCAACATTGTAACCAATCACGTTGCAGCGCTTCAACATTTGCAGCCAATCGCGGACCGGAATTCTCAATATTTTCAACATTTGGACTAATCAGAGTCGAGACAATGTTGAAGCCGGGGGGGAGGAACTGTTCCAAGAATCACCGCTAGGTGTGCAGTCAAACAGGTCAGTCAGATGTCAATCAATTTTCCGAACTGAGCCGAAGGTACACGAAGGAATGACGCGGTCCTCTGGAGGCGGGTCAGAGGTCAAAAAAGTTCATTGACCATCAGTGATATTCAACGAACAGCATCATTCGACAGAGCACAGCATCGGTTTGCTTACAGTAAAGGATTTTTTCCGATAGTGATTTCTTAAAAAAGGTAGGAAAAACTACACAATTGCACGAATTAATGTTTTAGTGTGTTGTATTTCAAATTTGGATACTTTAATTCAGAACCGTTTAATTTATAGGAGAAAAATGTCTGGAAAATATCATAAAGCCATGTCAGACGCTGACTGGATTTCACGTTTGAAAAAGTTTGCCAGCACAGGAGTTTGGCCATCAAATGAGGGAAATAGGCCAGCTCCTCGACAAAAAAAGTGTCATGAGATTTATCAAAGGGTGTGTATTTCGTTTACATGATATAACGTTTGTTGAAATTTGCTTAACAGAGTAACGTTAACTTGTTAGGCTTCAGTACATTCAGTACAGTATCTGTGTAAAACATGTCATACTTGTTTTTAAATATTAAAGTGTTTTAAATTGCATGTATTTTGAGATTTACGTCGAATAACTTAGTAAGTTTGACCGTTTATGAGAGAGATCTGAAAAGGTGGGGGAAGGGATTATGAGTACAGTATACAGCATGTGGTTTTAAGGCCTGAAATGTTCCTGTCCAGTTCCTTTTATCCTTCTTTTCGTTTTTGGAGATACAAACTGTACGATTACATATTAGACAAATATTAAACACATTGAAACAGTGGTAAATTAATTTACAGAGCTATTGTGTGCTTTATTAAGGGAGTCATTGAGTAAAAATTCTTATTTAGTTATAAAAGTTTTTTGTATTGTATAAAATTATTTAATATATCTTTCATGATTTTTTCAGATTGAGAAATGCCCATTGCAATCTCGTGGGCAGAGGACTTTGCTTGGAGGTGTGCTGAAATGCACATGTGGTTTTCACACTCAAAAGGTACATTTTTGAGTCAATATGTGTTTATTTTTATTTACTACAATGCCTTTCCTTTTTCATGATTATATGTATTTTTGTGATTTATTTTCAGCAGAGTACTGCTTCTGCTGCTCCAGCACAAACGGTGCAACAACCTGCCCCTACTGTACCTGCTCAGGAGGTGATAGAGACGAGACAACTTGAGGCCCAGCCCCAGCCTACTCCACCAGTGGCATCAAAGATTTCACCGCAATTGTCAATGGTACATTTTAAAAAAAATCAAAAGAAATGACAATTTCAGTGTTTCAAGTGTTCAAGGTGTTCAAAGTTCAGTTCAAAGTTCAAACATAGGAGAGAAAAGAACAAAAAGCAATAAAAAAGTTGAGGTGTTGCTAGAGACCTGCTTCTATTCACACCTCTTGCACAGTGGGGGGTAGCAGACACTTGCTGATTGGTCGGTTTGAGTTTCTGTGATTAGATTAAATTACATGGTCAGGTCATGGTCAGGGTCACAGTTTTTAAAGCTACATTTTAACCTCTTGTCTTCAGATAATGATACATAATAAACACTAATAGTAAATACTTTGTTTTGATTTTAAGTGTAAGCTAAAATTTGTACTTTTTCTAAACAACGAGTCTGAGGTATTATCTTGAAAAAGTACTTATTTAAAAAAAAATATATATATATTTTTTTGCTACCACAGGTATGATAATATTTTTTCTTCTGGGAGAAAGTCTTATTTGTTTTATTTCGAATACATTTTTCAAGGTCAATATTATGAGCCTCTTTAAGCTTTTTTTTTTTTTTTTTTTTTGGGCATAGTCTACAAAACAAACCATCGTTATACAATAACTTGCCTAATTACCCTAACCTGCCTATTTAACCTAATTTACCTAGTTAAACCTTCAAATGTCACTTTTAGTGGTATAAAAGTGTCTTGAAGAATATCTAGTCAAATATTATTTACTGTCATCAGGGCAAAGATAAAATAAAACAGTTCTTAGGAATGAGTTATTAAAACTTTGATGTTTAAAAAAATGTGCTGAACAAATCTTCTCTCCATTAAACAGCAATTGGTGGAAAAAAATTCAAAAGCGGGCTAATAAATCAGACTTCAACTGTATATAACACATAGTGTGATGTTGTAATATACAATGTATGTTTTTGTTGAAATGTATGATGTAATAATAGTACAATAATACTGTATATAACATAATGCAATACTTTATTCCTTTGGTAGTAAAAAAAATATTTGTTTGCATATTGCTCCTTGATCCAGAAAACTATAATTTTAATCAAAGCCTAATGTGTCACATTTATTTGCAATGAACCAGTTGTCTAATTAAATCTATTCTAACTTATATCTTATTTCTACCTGTAAAAGTAGCAGAGGTTGGTAGTAAAAAACAGCTTGAACTCGAAACACTGTAGAGAAATCAAACTGATTGTACAACAGACATATAGAAAGATAGTTTCTAATTGCTTGAAATGTAATGTGATATACACTAATGTTCAAAAAATTATTATAGTTAAAATATAAAAGCCTAATATTACTCATATATTGCAAGAATTCTATTGTGTTTGATTTGCTCATAAATTAAATCGCTTTTATTTTATATGAATTGTTTGAATAAATTATTCTTTATTTATTTAATTTGCCTATATTATTATTTCACATTATTCCAGTTTTTACTAAGTATTTGATCAAATAAATGTAGCCTTGATAAACATAATTAAAACATTTAAAAAAAATACATTGAGCAGATCGCAAACCTTTGAACAGTAGTGTACATTTTGCCATTGTGAACACAGTGTTTTTAGTGAAATGCTTTTTGTCTTGCCCTATTTGAGTTCACCAAACCAAGATTTTCCGGATCCCACATTCCTGCAGCAAAGCCAAATCTTAGTGTGGCTAGAAGAATATCACAGGTTGACGTTCAGCCCAGTTCAGCAGTGTGTAGTGCTTCTACACCAAGCACGGCTGTAAGTATTGTCATAATCCACATAGCTTTCTGAGAGAATTTGGTATAAGCATTTTTTCAATGTAAATTTGTATTTTTTTTTAAGTATCGTCACTTTAAATCTCAATAAAACATCTCTGTAGTATTCTTTTAGTGCATAAAAACATGTATATTAAAAATAAGCACCATTCTTTAAACTTTTTGTTCTGCATAGAAGCGCTGTGACAAAATTTTATATACAGTTTATACAGTTTAGCAGCAATCATTCATTCCCAATGTATTTTATACATTAATGTTCAAATAAAGTAATGGTTGCATAAAATTCTGATTAGTTAATGTTACTTATAGATATATATTTAAAAATGCACTTTGTTATACTGCTTGTTTGTACAGACAAAGGACCTTCAAGTTTCTGCCCCCGTCCTCACATCCACTACGGCAGTGACCAGTTCCACAGAGCATTGTCTCAGTAAGTAATTTCATATTTTCTGTCCAAAAAAGTAATTTGGTTTGCATATTTGCTGCCCCAGCTGAATTCACACAAAGTGTTTTTAAGACCAGCCAATTAAATTGACTTGTTGTTAATTAACTAAGCTTGATATATGTATAAATGTTAACAAAATAAAGAGAGAAAAAAATAAAGCAAAGAATCACAAAAATTACGCCTTTTGCTGTTGATTTTTTATGTTCACAGTAGTAAAAGAAAAGAAAATGGATGGAAAAGAAGTAGAAAGGAAAAAGAGAAATAACTATATTGGAAAATACTTTTGCTTCTTTAAAGAAAATGTTTATTGGTGAAATTCTATTAATGATTTTTGGAATTGAAATACATAATAAGGTATTTAAAAACAATCACTTAAAATCAAAGATATTTAGATTATAATCATGATAACATCATGTAAGGGTACTCACTCAAATATGTAAGATGCATTTACATTACCAGACTAAAGGTTTGATCTACAAGTGAGTAATTGAACACCTTTATTCCTCGTGCTGTTTTAACCTATCATCACAGATATATGAAAATAATTTACAAATTATTTATATATATTCAGTGTTGGGGAGTAACTAGTTACATGTAACGCCGTTACGTAATTTAATTACAAAATACAAGTAACAGTAGTTACAGTTACTAAGAAAAATATGTAATTAAATTACAGTTACTTTTGAAAATGTTAAAAATTACAAATGGGGTTACATCTAATATTTTTCTTTAAATCTCTGTGATATGTTGAATAATATTAATCTATTGCTTTGCCTGTTTTTGATATGCACGATGGCTTCTGCTAAGGCCATTTTTAATTTCTGCTAGGCTTTTAATTTGCGGCGCAACCACGGGCGTAAATCCCGGGGGGAACATGGTCATTGTCCTCACCAAATAAAATATATAAATATATATATATATAAACGCACTCTCTATTTTGAAAAAATATGTGTGTATACCTGAAATAATTGTCTAAGTATAAAAAAACGCATTTATTATTTAAAATGCATTTAGAAAGCGTTCACCCCCGCTTCCTCATAGTGGTTTGATCCACCTACTCCTCAAGTACACGCAGCCTGTCTCACAGTCACAGACAGACAGACAGACAGACAGACAGACAGACAGACGCAGAAGTTAGGTGTGTGGCTACAGGTCAATGTTGAATTTGAGTAAGTATGGTGTATTAATCACATTAAATAAATCGATTCTCTTCAAAGTTAATGCAGAATTATTTATAAATTAGTTGAAAGCACTTTGAATTAGCATTGTATATAAAATGTGCTACAGTATAAATAAACTTGCATTGCAGTGTCATGGACTAGATAAAATGATTGAGGTAAAGTTGGTTTTATATTCACACATTCATTCAGTGACAGCTCCATACATTGTTTACCATGGTACTTTGAATATTTGAACTGAAATCTCATGCAAGTTTGACTTCAAAACAACATTAATAATAATAATAATAATTTATTTTATTTGTATAGCACTTTTCCTACATACATGGAACTCAAGGCACTTGACAAACAACAAACAGGCATTGTAAAATAAACCAAATACAAAATAATGTATATTAGACAATTAAAGCAAAATATATACTCAGATAAAAGCATACATGTACACACATATATGCATACATCTACAAAATCACACACAATATTCTTTACATACATGCACACACACCGTACATGCATATGTACATAAACCTACACGATTTAGATAAATTGCATAAACTTCACAAACTTATATTCATACGCAATTTTAAAAAGGTGCTTCTTAAGCTTTTTAAAAATAAATTCTGGGGGATTCTTTTACTTAATTTGGGAGACAATTCCAAGATTTTGCAGCATAGTGACTAAAAGAAGTGGTGCCAGATCGCATCAGATTTACAAAGTGAAATTCTAAAAGTCGAGAGCTAGAAGAGCGTAGCAAACGGTTTGGATTATATTTTGATAAGCAGTCAGAAAGTATGAAAGGTGTCATGTTGTGTAGTGCCTTATAAACTAATAAAAGAATCCTAAAATTTATTCTATTAATGCTGCTGTGATATGTTCCTGTGTCTTCAATTTCAATAAAACTCTGGCTGCTGTATTTTGTATCAGTTGCAACGTCTTTATAGAACCTTTAGGTAAACCAATATAATATTAACACTAACTGTAAATAATGCTATACTTTGATGGTTGTTGGCTGCTAATATAATTTTACTATTTAGAATTTTCAATGAATACTCTTCTGAGGTTATATTATGAGAGACTGAATGTGCAAATATAAAACCAACTTTACCTCAATGATAAAATGACAGAGAAAAGGAAAATGGACATAAGATAATTTTTCAGTGCAGCAAAACTCCAAGTACAAAAAGTTCACATATTAAGCAATTTGGCTTTCAGAATGAGTGCTTATGAAAATAGTAATGTCACATTATCAATCACAGGCAGAGGAGAAAGAACTGATTGAGGAACAGGCAGAGCAGGGTCAGTCAGATGTACAGTGTCAGGTAAGGGTGTTGTGCTTTATTAAAGGGATAATGACAATTCTTTTAGGGGTGAACAATTTTTTAAAATGTTTTCTGAGTTGTGGCTGTTTAGCAGATGAACCTCACAGGCTCACCAATTTACAATATGATCTCTCAATTTAACAAGTGTAATGTAAACCAGTTATTTATTATGAGTATGGAAAATGTCTTTTCCTGCATTTATTCGGCTTCAGGAGTCAGTCTGTTGACTGTAAA